CCCCCCCCCCAAAAAAACAACAACAAACAAAACAAACAACAACAAAAAACAACAACAAACAAACACGAAAAAGCTTTGTTATGATAAAGAACGAGATTTCTATAACAAGCACCGGACATTGCTTCTTCTCCTTGACCTGCTCCATTGTATCATCCTCACTAAAAAGTCTACGAAAAACTCGGGCGCAAGACAGTTTGTCTTAACTCTTTAAGGACGTAAGGATACATGTGTCCGATAAGCAGTAGACCAAATGAAAAATTGAGGCCCTTTTCAAACCATCATACGAAACATTTTTGTCACTAAAATTTTTTCCTTTTACCTCCTTTCCTGCTCTCTAACCATGTTCTGTCGTCTGATTTCATTTCCACGTTTTGCCCCTTTCCCCGTCTCTGGGGTCCTGACTCTTTCTGCAGCCTTTCTACTGCTACTCCGTGGCTCCTTCTTACTGCTGTCTTTCAGCCACATCTCTGATCTTAGGGTATTTACTAGGTAAGATCTAACACCTAGCCTTCCCGTATAACGGCGAAAAAAAATTCGGAAGTCCAGTGTGCAAGTTGCGCACGTTAAAGTTCCCTTGGTGGTCCTTGAATCGATAAGAGCAGGCTTCGGCCGCCCCCCCCCCTCCCGGGCAAAATTCAAAATTAATTCCAAATAATGACATGGAGACCCACAGTGGAGTCTGAAATGAAGTCCTGGAGCCATTCATGAGGGACGTTGACCAAGATGGCCCAAAACAGACTGAGCTGGAGATCCTTTGTTGCTGCCCTAAACGCCAGATGGCGTATTGGGTGGTAAGTAAGTAAGTCGGCCGCCATCCGGGCAAAATTCAAAATTAATTCCGAACATACTGAAAATGTTTAATGCGTCCCGCTCCCTCATATGACCTTATGCAGTTGCAAGCGCTGTAAAACACTTACAAAAACAAACCAAAAACAAATCAGAAACTCGAATTTGTATATTCTATTATGTGTATGTTATTGAGTTTTTAGTTTCATTTAAAGAAAACAGAACTGAAAAGTTTGCATGGATATCGAAGTTTTGCTTTTTAAAGTGGTATAAAACAGAGCATTTTCAAGCGTTTTCTTTGAATGCTCGTCCTCAATGAGTTAGATCTATCTGTGGTTATTTCGGGACTGCTTTTGTTTGCTTTAATCTTTGCTTTTGTCATTTTCTTCTGGGTTTATTTTTTGGTTACTTTTGGGGGGTTTGTTTCTCGGGGGTTAGGGTTGGGGAGTGAGTGTGTGGG